GCACGCTCCTTACCCACCAGGCCTAAGAAAAAACACAAGACCACAGAACTGAAGGTTTTCATTTTGGAATATCATGAAGCTCAAACAGATCATCTATACGATGTTATATATAAAACCAGTGTAGTCTGAACTCAGGCAATTTAATTATGGGTTCATTTGTATTTAATATTTAATAAATACTGTCCTTCTCTAAACCATAGATTGACATGGGATATTGTCCACATTTTTCAGGGTTGGTTTGTAAGGAAACATGGTTTTTCCTGACTTAAAATTATTGCTAACTATTATTTAAAGATTGAACACGTATTGGCCTTGAGCCAAAATTACAAGGCTACATGTCAAGTTTATGAAATCTAGTCATACTTTGAGCATGCTACTGTTGTTGTTGTTATGTGCTGTCAAGTCATTTGCGACTCATAGCGACCCTATGCACAATAGCCCTAAACCCTGCTCTATCCTGCGCCAACCGCACTGCCTCTGACACTAAGAGGGGTTATTCCTTGGAAAGGAATGTTATGGTTGGAAAGGTGGAGGTGATGGCAAAGGAGAAGAAGACTCAACCAGGGAGGGTAACATAGGTCACACGTAATGGGCTCGAGCGTGTCAGAGATTTTGAGGATGGCACAAGATAGGACAGAGGTCTGATCTGTTTTTCATAGGGCTGCTATGAGTCATACTCGATGGCATCTTACGACAACTGTGACTTAAGAACCTTAATAAAGTATCTGATGATGACTATTTTATACAGGTTAGGTGATCTCTTGATGGCGAGAGGCAATATCTGAGTTAGAATATATCATATTCAAGTTTTATGAGTCATAGTTTTTGGATACATTTTTTTTTGGCGACTCTGGTGGGATTGGATACATATTTTAATGTAAACATTTAAAGTCATATATTAAAAAGAGGTTTTCCACACTATATTTTCTGATAAAATCATACGCCATTCACTCGTTGTTAGGAGCTGTCAAGTAAGACTCATAATGGCTCTATGAACAAAAGACCTGAACCCTGTTCTATCCTGTGCCATCCTCACACTACCTGACACACCAGAGCCCATTTCAGCAGTCACCGTTATCCACCTGGTTGAAGGTATTCTTCTCCTTCACCAATCCTCCACCCTTCCCAGCATCCAAGGAATATCCCCTCCTAGCAAGATGCCCAAAGTATGTGAGGTGAAGCCTGATCATTCTTGCCTCCAAAAAGCATTCCTGATATACCCTCTCCAAGACTAATTTGTTTGGCCATCCATGGCTGTTCAGTGCTCTTCACCAACACTACTGCTCAATTCTCCTTCTGTCATCCTTACTCCATGTCCAGCTCTCAGACGCATAGCAAGTGATCAGAAAACTATGGCCCGAATCAGAAGTACCTTAGTCCTCAAACTGACATCATTACGCCTCAATAATTTGGAGAGGTCCCTAACTGTTGACTTTCTTAGTGCAATGTGTCTCCTTATTTCCTGACTGCTGGTACCAAGAGTGTTATTCACTTAGCCTTTTAAAATCTGGACTGTATGTCAAAGGAGTCCAGGTGGTGTAGTGGGTTATGTATCTGACAGTTAATGGGAAAGGGCCCTGTTCAAACTCACCACCAGTTCCACAGGAGAAAGATTAAAGAAAAATGCTCCTGTAAGATTCACAGCCTTGGAAACCTAACGGGCAGTTCTACTCCATGCTATACTTTAAGGTTGTTAGGAGTCACAATTGGCTGGATGACAGGGGTTTTGGTTCACCCTGCAACATCTTTTCCTGGAAAGTCATATGCTTATGGTCCACAAACTTTAAACCAGAAAACAGAATCTGAAGAACAAATGTTCTCTTTCGACTGAGAGCATACAACATTCAGTATCTCTGACATTCTTCATTTCTTTTAACATAAGCACTTAAGTTCGTGATTCAATAAAAACAAACCCACTGCTATCAAGTTGATTCCAATTCACAGTGACCTAAAGGACAGAGTGGAACTGCCCCTTGGGTTTGTCAAGACTAACTTTCTGTAGAAGTAGACTGCCTCACTGTTCTCCCAAAGAACAGTTGGTGGGGTTGAACCACTAAACTTTTTAATTCGTAGTTGAGCACTTAACAGCTATGCCACTAAGGACTTGAATGATTCAAAAGGTATGAATCAGTTAAACTAATGAGAAACAAATATGAAAGCCACACTGCACAAGGCATAACTGGCTTATGGCAATGTTACATAGTGAGCATGAATGGATTTTGGAAGTTTTAAGAGTACGCATTCTTAACTTTTCTCAGCAAATGACATTCCTTTCAATAAAAGGAAAAAAAATTTAAGTGGAAAGCTTAGAAAACTGTGGTGGCAAGAAGCTGTGCTGCAACCTCAAAGGCATGCAGTTCGAATTCACCACTCTGTGGGAGAAGGATGGGCAATCTCCTCCCATGCAATTAACTGCCTCTAAAAACCCACTGGTGGATCAACTATGGGTTGGTTCCGACTCGATGGTATGCAACAACATATACAATGTGTGGGTGTAGACAGATAGCTAACTCTTGTGGCCTAGTGGTTAAGAAGCTGAAGTGCTGTAATCCTGAAGGCACGTAGCTCAAATCCACCAGCTGCTCCAAGGAAAAAGGATGGGCAGTCTCCTCCTGTGAGATTAACTGCCTTGGAAAAATAACTAGAGGATCAGCTATGGGTCGGTTCCAACTCAACAGTACACAACGATATATACAGTTAGTTTGAGTACTAAGGTACACCTGATTCAGGTCATGGTCTTTTCAATCACTTGCTATTTACCTGAGAACTGGACAATGACTAAGGATGACAGAAGAATTATTGATGTTTTTGAGTTGCAGTACCGGAGAAGAGAACTGACTGCCGAAAGAACAAACAGACAGGTCTTGGAGAAGGTGCAGCCAAGAGTGCTCCTTGGAGGCAAATATGCTAAAACTTAGGCATGTTGCTAAGAGAGGCTATTCATTGGCAAGGGACATCATGCTTGGGAAGGTGGAGGGATAGAGAAAGAGAGGTCCTCAACCAGGTGGATTAACAAAGTGACTGCAGCAATGGGCTCAAGTGTGTCAGAGATTTGTGAGGATGGCACAGGACAGGACAGGATTCAGATCTATTGTTCAAAGGCCCCTAAGAGTCATACTAGGCTTTATGGAACCTAACAACAACAACAATCGTATGCACGGCACTATGAAAATTATCTTAACTGTTAAAATATTCTTAGGGAAAGAGAGTTAATTTTAAAACCATCACTTACAGAATGGTAGGAACAAAAAGAAAACTATTTCTAAATAGGTACAGTTCTTCTAATGTTGACCAATATGCTATTCTATGCAATTTTATAATTTTAAGTTTGAAACCCTGTACTGCATCATTTACACAGTCCTATTATTTGTTCCTTCTGAAACCTCAGGCAGAGCCAACATTCTCTACACAATACATTTTCACACTAAAACCACAGAAGACTACTAGAATGCTGGAAACAGCATTACCCTCTATAACTTCACTGTTTTAAAAAGATAGGCTACATGCCCCAGAAACACCGGAAATAAAGTAATAAGTGTTTGAATTCTTTACAATTTGAACTCTTCATAAGAAAAGTGTTCTATAAAGTCAAACTGCTATTCAAGGGGGGGTGGGAAGGAAGGTAAAAGACACAAATTACACTCTGAAACTACCCTCCCCTTCAAAAATAAACTTCTTGGTTTTAAAAATAAGTTTCTAATGCCCAGTATATGATACAGGATAATGGCATTCAACTCTTTATACATAGCGTATTAAATAGAGTACTCTGGAGAAGATAAAAAAAATGTTTTTCTAAAAATGCAGCTATATAAACTAATGAAGCTGCCATTGAGAAGATTTAATATAAAGAAAAAAGTATAGTGGTACCAATTCTTAACACAAATAATTAAGTACAATTTATATAATTTCAAAAGTTCTTCATGTTATTGTTTGATACCACAGTTACATTGAACAATTAAAAACTTGTATAATTTCAGGCTTATAAAAAATAAAAATTTACACACAGCCAATTAAGAAATTGAAAAAATGTTAATGCAATGTTGTTATGTACTGTCAAGTCAGAATGACTCATAGCTGACCCTCAGCAGCTTTTCAGAGGCTGTATATTCCATAGGAGGAGAATACCCATCTATCTCCTGCAGAGGGGCTGGTATATTTGAACCACTTGCTTTTAGGCTGGCAATGCCATTTCTTAATACCATTATGCCACCCAAGCTCATACAAGAAGAGAGTATAAAAAGCAAGGTGTCAAGATTTAAACATGTCACAATCTTAATCAAAGTGTATGCAAACTGGAAAGAAAGGAAATCAGTGGGTAACAGCCACACAAAATATTCCTCTCCCACATTTCTTAGTAATCATCTGTTATAAATATCATGGGGTATTAAACACCAGCTTAGTTTAATACTACAACTTCTGCTTTTTTTCAGAGACGTTTCAAAAACAAACACCCTTCCACAATTTTGTCAGCCTGGGAGAAATCTTTTCCTTAAGAATTTTTTAAAGGAGTATGTCCACACTTGTGCATTTAAGATCTGATAAAAATAGTTCAAGTAAGGCCATTATTGATATTACTTTGATAAAAAATATACAGATTTTTATGTCACTTTTTGACTTAGCTCTAATATCTTTAAATGCATGCACATCATTCACTGACTTATCTATTATAAGAAAAATAATTTAATCCTTTACGAGTACTGAAGACACAAATACTTTCAAACTTTCTTTTTAAAAAAAAAAAATGCTTAGTATCCAGAATGATTACAGAAACATCTGCTATAAACACAGTAGGAAACATATGCAGGTAATATGCTGGTTCCAAAAGGCTCCTAAGGGTGCAACTTTAAAATAATCAGCATGTGAATTAAAAAAGGAAGAAAGTAATACAAAGAACATGTTTGTTAGAATAGATAAGTAGAGACTTGAGGGATGCTTTTCTGGAATTTATAATGGACCCTGTGTTCACTGTGATAAAATAAAAAACACTGGCCAATTTTTAGGCTAAGTTCAAATGTATTTTTTTTTTTTGATAATACAAAAAAGTAATCCTTGAAAATCAGAATACATAACAGAAAAGAGCACAATAACTTAAGTATTAAACATCTGTATGAAATAACAGTTGCAAAGTTTGACAAAAATGCACACTTAGAACATGCGGTTAAAAAAAAAAAAAATCAAAAAAGAAACACCACACGATTCTGTAGAACCAATGTTATGTCACCACCAGGAGAGCACCAAGCAAGGCACCATTGGAAAGACAACATACTTGGAAAGTCTCTAAATAAAGGAAATACTAATCTGGTCGAAAAATTGGTGTCTTTGGTAAAAATTCTATGAGGATGACCTGTAGAAAGAGGAAAAAAGTTTCAGTAAGACTTAATAGGCTTTTATCTTAAAGCATCAACTATGTTCTACCAACTTAGAAATATTTTTAAAATCCACTCACATTATATAAGCACAACATTGCATCACTAAAATATACATTTATCAGATAAATTTGCTCCATTATTAAAGATTTTCAATTTGTTTCTGAATCTTTACCAAACAGGCAAAATAATTCAGCTATTTATAATGGGAGTTCTGGTGGCCTTGTGAGAAAAAGCTGCAGTGTAGTCACAAAGACATGTGGTTTGAATCCACAAGCTGCTCGTGGGAGGATGAGCAATCTCCTGTCATGCAATTAAACTGTCTCTGAAAACCCGCTGGAGGGTCAGGTACAGATTGGTTTGACTAAAGGGCATACAGCATCAACAACATATACTTTACAAGGGAGCTCTGGTGTAAGAAGCTGCACTGCACGTGCTTCAAATCCACAAACTGCTCCATGGAAGAAAGATGGACAATCTCCAACCATGCAATTTACAGCTTCTGAAAACCTGCTGAAGGGTAAGCTATGAGTCAGTTCTGACTAGAGGGGGGTACATAACAACAACAATACTTTAAAAAGAGGAGAACAAATAATCAGTTGGAGAAGATGAACAAAAGTACTTATTATAGTCAGTGTCTCTAACTCATAGGAGGAGCTAGGATAAAGAAGAAAAGGGAATTAGTGTTTACCGAGCTTCCTTGCAATTTACTGCCTCTGAAAACCCAGTTGAGGGTAAGCTATAGGCCTGTTCTGACTTGACAAAAATAACAATAGTAACCACCGCATTAAGCCAGGGAACTCTGATGGCCTAGTGGTAAAAAGCTGTACAACCAACCTGAAAGCATGAAATTCGAGGCTACCAGCTACTCCACAGAAGAAAAATGGTCAGTCTCCTCCCCTGAAATTTACTGCCTCTAAAAACCCACTGGAGAGTCAGTTATGGGTCGGTTCTGGCTCAATGGTACACAACAACCACCACCTCATGCCAGGCTATCATTTTATCTGGGAGCCATTTAATCTCAAAAACTATTCTATGAAACATTGCTTCCTAAAACAGATGAGGAAAATGATGATCTGAGACATTTCAGATCACGGGTTTTAATGTTGAGATTTAAACAAGAGATGATCTAGACTCCAGAGGCCTGCCTTTCCTATGACATTATGTTTTTACGGTGGCTGTAGTTGACCAAATACTTATTTCTTCACCATTACTCATTTAAATCCATCATCAGCCCCAAGTGAAAAAGATGGGCAATCTCCTACTGTGTGGTTTCCTGCCTCTGAAACTCACTGGAGGGTGAGCTATGAGCTGGTTGGAACAGACTCACACTCTCTCAGGATCAGGGTTTCCCTCATTTTACCAGAAGACACACATATAAAAGGTATTGGTATTTTCATTAAAGTTCTGAAGTCCTTGACCTCTTAGACTAGCAAAATAAACATTAAATTTTATTACAAAGGATCTTTTAATAGGAAACTAAAGTAAATCAATAAAAACAAACAGTAAAGCAGAAATGCACAAATTGATCAGGGCTCATTTGGATTCCAAACTCTAACTGCCCTAAATCACAGCCAACTCTTTTCTTATTCCAATTCTGTATGAAGCAGATGCTAAGCAAGCAAACAAATAGTTTATCTGAGCAGCTTTTTAAATTTGGTGAACGACTCATTCTTTGCCAGAATCTGTGTCTTGAAATGACCTCTGGGCTTGGACCCTCCTCTACAATTTGCCCTCTGAATCAGGGACCTTCATTTTCAACTCTTCTAGTTCTGGTTTTAATCTGCCCTGATAGTGATGGTACTTCTACACCTGCATCAAAATTAATCCTCTCCTGCGCAGATGCCACATATTTAACACGAGGTGTCAATTTGCCACTCCCTTGACTCTATATTTACCTACAAGATATTGACTAGCTTCATTGCTGAAGTACTTTGTTCCATCTAGTTTCTTCACTGGAACTAGATTTCCTTGTTGTTCAGTTTCCTCATCTATACAAAAAAGGGATTTGACTACCTGACAAGATTCTTTTGACATTTAGTCTAAAATTAGAAAATTACCTAAACTACTTAGAGTCAATTTAGATAAATAGTTTTATGCTACAAACATGTCCTCAATTAAGCAGTCTTTAAATTTCAATCCTGGAGTGTAAGCATTACAATTTGATAAAGTGGTAGCATCAGGATGGATGGTGAAGAGATTGAGATTGTTCACAGCTTTAGTCGGCTTGGCTCCACGGTCAACACTCTTGGCACCAGCAGCCAGGAAATCAAAAGACGTATTGCGATGGGAAAGTGTGCTGTTAGGGACCTCTCTAAAGTACTCAAGAGCAACGGTGTCTCTCTGGAGACTAAGGTGCGCCTGATACAGGCCATGGTCTTTGCAATCACTTGTTATGCATCCAAGAGTTGGACAATGACTAGGGAAGATAGAAGGAGAATTGATACCTTTGAGGTGTGGTGCTGGAGAAAAGTATTGAATGTACCCTGGATTGCCAAGAAAACAAACAGATTCATCCTGGAGAGGGTTAAACCAGGCTACTCCTTGGAAGCAAGGATTCTGGGGCTTCATCTGATATACTTTGGACATGTTTGTAAGGAGAGACAGGTCCTTGGAGAGGGACATCATGCTTGGTAGGGTGGAGGGACAGCGCAGGAGGGGAAGACCCTCTATGAGGTGGATTGATTCAGTGACTGGGGTAATCGGGATGGGCGTGTCAGAGGCCATGCGATTGGCACAGGATAGAGCAGGGTTTAGGGCTGTTGTACATAGGATCGCTGAGTCGCAAACGACTCGATGGCACATAACAACAACAACATACATAAAGCACATTAACAAAGGCACTCTTTAAATACATTTTAATGATGGCTTTATAAAGAATATAAACCTACAATTTTTTTCCTTCAAAAGGCGCACCTACAAATTAACCACTTGTCTAATTATTTTAATAATTATTAATCATAATTTAACAATTATTCTTGATCATAAAGAAATTTAGTATTAGAAGATATATTTTCTATATTTTAATCTATACTCAAAATATAATCAAGGAGTTTGAATTCTTTTACTGACAAATAAAGTAACAGAAAGTCACAGAAAAGCTGAACAAAAGAATTCAATTTTTTTAATACATGTAAGAAGCCCAAATTCATTAGAAAAGTATTCTCTTTAATTTTTGCTTTAAGCGTTTTGAAACTACAGTCTTTCCCCTTTCAACCATCACAAATGTAACTACTTTAATAAAATCTGAAAAATACACTTTTCAAAGCAATTTTTATATAATCTTTGTTCTTACTACTCTCATGGATATCATCTATGATACTATAAAAACAAAAATTATTTTCGTAGAAATGTTTAATTATCTAAAAATTCATGTAAATTAACTATAAAGTACATATTTCAAAATGTTTTTGAGCATTACTATTTTTAGTTAATAAAAGAATGTCAAAAAACAATGAATATGTTTTAAGAATGAATGACATTTACAGTATTTTTACACAAGTACTAAGCATTCTGTTTGCGAACTGCACCCTACGCACCCCCTATTTCAAAAGCACACTATGCTAATTTTTCTAATGCAACAAACAAAATAAATTAGCATAGTGCATTTATGAAAATACTTTGGGGGATGGCACACAGGCCTCATGTTATTTATATAAAAATAAGATATCTAGCTCTGTATGGAGATAATGAATGGCACTGAAAACAACACACACACACACACACACACACACACACACCCCCTCCAGAGTAAATTTAGAAATACACACAGAAGTAAAATAAATCCTTAGTTTATTGTTTGGGTTTATAAATGCAGCAAATATTTTACCATAAAACCCTTTAAATCTCCTATATATCCATCCATCCATCCATCCCCTAAAATACATACATATATATATTCTTCTACTTGTAATGATGAAAGCACAAAATTAGCATTTTCATAGATCCTGAAACAACATACTCAGATGTACTTTTTTCCATAATTATAAAAAGTATCATGTATCCTTCTCATCATCATAAATTAACATGTTTGATATAATAGATAATGACATGAAAAATCTACATAATTCAATTTACTGAATAGACCTAGTCTAGGGAAAAAAAGGGCATTTTTTTAAAAAGGTCTTTTATATTCAAGTCTAGAAATGGGATTTGACTGTATAATAATGAAAAAAGGGGAAATGTTAACAGAGAAAATGATTTTACGATAATTTCCAACTATTTAAACACTGTTTTAATCAATCTTTTTTTATATATACATATATACTATCAGTGATGTCTATATTGTTTCAAAAAATAGATGAAATTTGTTAGAAATGTTATGCCAGATTCTTCACTTTAATTTTCAGAAATTAACCCTTTCTTAGCTCTTTTTCTTTTAATGTAACAACATTTCTGTATTTAAAATAAAACACTCAAACTCAAGGGAGAATAAATTAAAAATCGTATTTTTGTAATAGAATCTAATCTTTAAAAGAGCAAGAGTAGTTCAATTAAAGTCAGCAGTCAGGTAAATCAACACTGTACTGAATAGTTCCTAAATAGTGCATGAATGCCAAATGAGATATCTTTTAAAGAATAAGCATGATAAGCAAAATCTCATCTCCTATTACTTAAAAGTTCTACTGAACTATACATCCTCATAATATTTCCAAAGATTCTTTAAAGGCTACTTTGGTCTGGGCAGTTAAGATCTATAAAGGCTAAAGGTTTCTTAAGCTCCAGCAGTTTGGCTGAAAGGTTTTTTCCATACTCAGAAACTTGATTAGCATTATATAAAAAAGCCATATCTGACTTGCTGCATAACCAAAGTTGTGATTATTCTTTATACAGCATCTAAAATTTCACACTCCATCAACACATGTTCAGGCTATTTTATCTTGGCAATTAATTTATTATTTTTCAGAACACAGTAAAGCCTTGTTTTCAAGTCATTCATAACTTTATAAATCAGTCTTACACATGAAACCATGCATCTGTGAACCGTAGAAAATCCTTGCACTCAGGAGATTAAGCGCCTGACACCTTTGCTGATTAATAATCATGGAAAGAATAAGATCAGAAGCAAAATAAATGATCATTTAATAGAGAAACTCACAAAACAGCCCTTTAACTTACATATTCCATCATGTTATTCGTTTCACATTTCCTTTTGCTCAGTCTCCAGTGCAAGCACAGCTAGACAAGGAGGACAGTAAAAGAAGAAAAATGAGCTCCATTTGATTGCGGCACAGAGACGAACCCATTTGTCCACCTTTCATATTTTTCGTCCAACAAAAGCATCTGTTTCCATACTGTGCAATTCAGACCCCAACAGTCTGAAGCTGCTCCCTGTGGTACTCACCTTGTGGTATAACCTATTGTTTTCCCATTCTAATAACTTCTCAATCGATCTTCGTGTCTGGAAGACAAATGAGAAGAAAGTTTACTCTTGACTGGTTTTAGAAAAACTTTGTTTTGCAGCTGCTTTTTATGTGAAAAGGGGAGAAGCGTAAGAGAGTTACGGAGAGCACAGGGTGGTCTGAAACACTATCAATGTGCTAACAAATAGTAAATGGTAACCAACAAAAAGAGGACTCTTTTTAAAAATAGATATGGATTCGTTTCTTTAATCATGTGTACAATGTTTTAAGTGTTTCAAATGTACCACATCAATTTAGAACTATGAATATGAAGAGTAAAATAGTTAATGCTAATGGCATAAAATTATACTCCTGCTTCTTGCCAAAATAATTTCGTAATATTTGTCTAGTAAGATATATTTAAAACTTAAGTTATTTAAATCCTAGTTAGTAAAAGGTAAATGGCTTTTAGAGTCAATTTTTTAACTCATTAAAAGTTAATAAATAAGAAATCAAAGTTATAACTACTTTTCTGGACCCAAATTTAGTTTATGATTCTACAGATGGAATTTTCCACACACAACATTTTACTTAAACAAACATACAACTGACATGTGAGAATAAAAGCAAACCCTTCAATACTGCTTTTTTTACAACTGAAACAACTGAAAATTTTGCCATTTAGATCACCCGACCACTGCCAATACAGACTATGTGGCATGAACTGTTTCCTGCTCAGGGATTTGAATAAAGGAGGAGATAATTCATGGTGCCAGGTGTTAAGATGAGACTGACACAGCTGCAGGTGCAAAAAGGGAAGGGACAGTGTTGCCACAAGGAAGGCTGCAACTTGGTGCAGCTGCAGCTTCCTAGCATGGGAAAGCATCTAGTGCTGTTAACGCAACACAACCATAAACAAACAACAACAACTAGACATGCATGCCACAGGGGAATGGCCTAGGTGAAAGTACAAATTACTAGATCAAGGTGGGTCTGAATAGTTTAATGTTACCTAATAAAATGTTAATATTTCCTTAAACTACCTACTGTATAATATCACTAGTGTATTTTTACCTTTCCATGTTATGCATGTTAAAGGCTCCACACAGCCACATAGGTGCTTATTTGAATTCAGAATTATCAATGAAGTACCATTAGTGCCTTTCACTTCCCAAGCTTATGTCATGAAATAAGAAAATCAACTAACTTTCTGGGTTATAATTCGTCAATGATTAATTTATTACATTACTCTTTTTAAGCAGTCCTTTTTGGCAAGAATTTTGAGAGGAAAAAAGTGCCCTTGTTAACAATGATCAGCAGACCTCACTTGTTTCTTTGTAAAGATAGCCTTTTAGAGGCAGCTCTCCTTTTAAATGAAAATAGGGCAGCAGTTATGGTCACACTTTTTGTTAATTTAGTTGCCAGTCAGCCCCAAATCAAAAGAAAATAAGGCTGCGGAGTGTAATTAACATTCAGTTCAGTCGTTTTGTCCCTTGTCTAGCCCCCAAGCTTTGTTAAAATTGCCATCTGAATGCTGAAGGCTGTAGGGAAATCGATTTGATTCTAATCGCACCATGAAAAGAACATGATCTAACTGCTTTCAGCCCTCCGTAAATCTGTACTAGGTCTTTAGCACAATGCAACTTCCAATTTAAAAAGCACTGAATGTCTCGTCAATGACTTTGTGAAGAAAAAAGAACAAGGAGCAGACATAAAAATTCCAATAGTTGTTTAAGCATTAAAGTTCATTTGCATCACAGCGAACCTGAAAAGGGCTGACCTCTCAAACCGCCTCTCAGGTCTATGAAGTTGTAGCCTTGACAAGCTCACATTGACAGAGCTCATTGACTCTGAAAGGCTACTCTATCAATGGTGAAAAATGGCAATAGGTTCTACTCGGAGCAGGCATCTGCCTGCCCACCCGCTGATAAACCAATGGCAAACCCGATTCAAAACCTGAATCTACCTTGTAATCTTCCTTTCTAGGACCTTTTAATAATAGATTAAGATTACTATACAATTTGAGGGGTTTGCTTTTATCGATGATTTTTAAAAAGGGAAGCAGGGGAAGTGGTGAAAGAGCTATGGTGGAGAGACGCCGCTTTTCAAACCTGATGTTTTTTGGAAAAAAAAAGAAGCACAAAATTAGTACCCTGAAGTATAACATTATGTTCTGCAAATATTTACTACTCAAAAGGGGGGAAAAAATAAGTTACCAGCATAAGCATTTTATCACAAATTTAAATTCATATGATATTATAATGTGAATGAAATCTCATGAAGCATACAATTTAGAAACTTCAACATATTTAAATAACTTAGAATATAAGTATTTGATTAAAAGATAATTGCAAATATGAACTGTAAATTCTGAAATCTTTATGAAATAATTCTGAACTTATTCTTTGCTTTTAATTAAAAGAGGTTAATGATAGGGTTTGGTATAATAACTGTATCTCATAATATTTTAGAATTCTAACCCACCAAACCTTAGCTGCCAAATTCTGAATAAACATCTAAATATGAACTATGTCTGCAAACTTGACAGTCTGGAGTAAAAGCTGTGAATCAGCAGCATCTAATCTTGCTATAAGACTTCTTTCCTGCTTGACAGGTGAAAAAAAAAAGCACTTGCACGTGCAGCTTAATTAATCATTGCACTTGACATCTCAATGATTTACAGTGAGGAGCAGGTGAGAACACACAAAACCAGAAAGAAACCCTTGATTTGAGTGGAACATTTCTAGCACACTAAGGTGACAAGTATATAGATTCTAGCAGTCATTTACAAAAAGAAAAGAAACTCTGCCACAAATTATTTGTTAGTAACAACAAAAGCTCAAATTAAATGAGGTGGGAGGGAGGCTTTAAGTATTAAGAATGTTTAATACTCTGCAATTATTTTTAGTGAACAAAATCAAAATATATTTCAAGATTAAATACAATACCAATTTGACAGACACTGAAAAACGTATCTGACACTGCAGTGTTTATAACAGCTACTTAAAAGCCTTTAGGCAGGAATAGAAAGCACATTATAATTGCAGTAATCTAGAAATAAAAGTTAAAATTTTATGTCCACAGGGCTGTCAGCTATTTCTAATGAAATGTAAGATTCAACATTACCAGACTTAGAAGTTATTCCTGACAAGCAACCCTGCTATATTACAAGTCTGTCCTTGATTCTTAAATATTTACATCAACCCCCTTCTCCACCCAATCTTCAAAAATTGTTAAAGCGATTTAGTAAATATTGGGGGGGAAATGTGTATAGTCTCTCTAAACAAGAAATATCAATATAACATCATCTTTCAGTATTCTAGGCCAGCCAATTTCTAAAAATAAGTCATCTTAATTTTCTTAAAGGAATTTAGTGCTTGTGAAAAGCACCAGATTGATAGTCATGGGAACTAAAATCTTCTATTTAACTGAAAGAACAGGGGAAAGGGCAGTGCAGACTTCAGTCCAAGCTCCCCTCCAGTGGGCCTTAATCCTTTTCAGTGCTCACACCCTGGGGGCCAGAGGACAGGTTGGTGAGTTTTTACCAACAAATCCTCAACAACTTCTGTTTAAGATAATCGACAAGAAATCTAACTTTACCATGGCCCTTATCCTTAATTAACAGGACCAGGACTACCAACTCATATCATGCAGATAAAATAACTCTACTATAATAACGAAGTTAGAATCTGCTTTTGCTTATGACTGTATTATTTGGTAACAAAAGGAAATCACGTAAATTACTCTTTCAATTTCAGCTTAGCAGTATTTCATTTGTAAATACATATAGTTACTTTTTAAAATTTAGTAAGTTACATAATAAACTCAAACCTTAGGTAGTTTTTATTACAAGCTATCAAAATTGCTCTTTACGATCTTTTTTTCCTGATTATAGCATCACTAAATGCTCATGACAATAAGATTATAAAATTTCAAAGGTAACAAGAATTCCTCAGCATCTTACAAGGAGAGATAGCCAGTGTAATAATTTTTCTACAGATTCTACTTTACATATCACTATTAATGCTAAAATCTTCCTGTTTCATTAACTGACTCTAAAAATACATGGGAGGATCAGCTAAGGGTCAGTTCCAACTCGAGGGTTGTTGTTGTTAGGTGCTGTCAAGTCACTTGCAACTCATAGCGACCCTATGTACAACAGCCCTAAACTCTGCTCTGTCCTGTGCCAATCTCACTGTCTCCAACACACCCATCCTGATTACCCCAGTCACTGAATCAATCCACCTCCTAGAGGGCCTTCCCCTCATGCACCTGCCCTCCACCCTCCCAAGCACAATGTCCCTCTCCAAGGATGAGTCTCTCCTTAGAACATGTCCAAAGTATGTCAGACGAAGCCTCAGAATCCTTGCCTCCAAGGAGCAGCCCAGTTTAACCCTCTCCAGGATAAATATGTTTGTTTCCTTAGCAGTCCATGGTACGCTCAATACCCCTCCAACACTAAAGCTCAAAGGCATCAATTCTCCTTCTATCCTCCCTAGTCATTCTCCAACTCCCTGATGCATAACTCGAGGGTACACAACAATAATGCTAATAATTATGCATTATCCACTTCCTTTGCACAGGAGCCCTGGTGGTATAGCAGTTAATACATTCAGCTATTAACTTCACGGTCAGCAGTTTGAGTCTACCAGCAGTTTCATAGAAAAAGGATGAGGAAGTCTGTTACCATAAAGATTTACAGCCTTGGAAACCCTATGTTATTTTTGTGTTAGGTGCCACTGAGTCCAGCACAACTCACAGCGACCCTATGAACAAAAGATCTGAACCCCATCCTATTCTGTGCCATTCTTACACTTCCTGGCATACTAGAGCTCATTGCAGCAGTCACCATATCAGTCACCACCTAGCTGAGGGTCTTCCTCTCTTTCACTGGACTTCCACACTTTTTTAGCATCATGTCCTTCTCCAAGGAATAGCCCCTTCTAGCAACATGCCCAAAGTATGTGAGGCAAAGCCTCTTCATACTTGCCTCCAAAGAGCACACCAGCTGTACATATCTATAAGTTCTTTTTTCTTATTATTTTATACCAGTTTATTTACCAAGTTCTAATATATTTTATTTCATACCAGATCTTTCCCATTTCCTTCACCCCCTTCCACACATTAAATTGTGTGACCCAATAATTAACCCCCCCCCAATCATTTCTCACCCCTCTGTTTCCACCATCCCTTCTGCCTTGGATTCTCACACTCGTTCTACAATAATGGTCTTCTACAGTTTTTGTCCTTATGGACTGAGTTACTTCACTCAGCATAATTCTCTCCAGTTCCTCCCAAGTTAGGTAGTAATTTACAAAATCATTTTTCCTGTGTGCTGTGTAGCATTGCATTGTGAGAATGTATCATAACTTCTCAATCCATTCAATTGTGGTTGGACCTTTGAGCTGTTTCCATGTTCTTGCAGTGGTGAATAACACTGCTATGAACACTGGTGTGTGTACAAGTCTCTGTTTGTGCCTCAGTTCTCATTCTCTCGGGGTACAGTCCAAGCGGTGGAATAGCTTGGTCATATGGAATTTGTATGTTCAGCATTTCTGAGGAAGCATCAAACTTCCTTCCAGAGTGGTTGTATGATTTTACAATCTCACCAACAATGTTTGAGTTCCTATCCCACCACATCCTCTCCACCATTTATTACTTGCTCTCCTGTTAAAACTTTGTCACTGCTACTAGAGTAAAATGCTACCTCATTGTGGTTATGATTTGCATCTCTCTTATTGTCAGTGATTTTGAGCATTTCTTCATGTTGGACATCTTAATACCCTCCTCGATGAAAATTCTTTCCATGTCTTTTGCCCATTTTGTAATTGGGTTATCAGTCTTTTTCTTGTGAAGGCACTCTAGGATTCTGTAAACTTGTGATATGAGACCCTTGTTTGAGATAGTATTGCCAAATGTTTTTACCCCAGGCAGTAGGTTTTCCTTTCACTTAGCTTGTTTTTTTGGCCGTCCAAGGGATGTTCAGTGCTATTCTCCAACACCACAGCTCAAAGGCATCAATTCTTTTTCTGTCATCCTTATTCATTCTCCACCACTCATTTCTGTCATCCTTATTCATTCTCCATCTCTCAGCTTCAGTATGGATTGCATCTCAATGTCCAGAAAACAAAGATTCTTACCACTGGACCAATAGGCGCGTGATGATGGATGGAGAGGAGACTGAAACTGTCAACACAACTTCACCTTGCGTGGAACCACAATTAACACCCGTGGTCCCTGCAGTCAGGAAATATGACGCACTGCACTGGGAAAATAGGCAGTTAGGGACTTCTCCAAATTATTGAGGAGTAGTGATATCAGTTTGAGAACTGAGATGCATCTGATTCAGGCCATGGTCTTTCCAATCACTTGCTATGCATCTGAGAGCTAGAAACCCTATAGGGTAGTTCTACTTTGTCCTACAGGGTTGCTATGAGTACGAATCGACTCAATAACAGTGAGATTTTTCCCTTTGAGCTACTAAGATAAGAGCATCAGATAAGAGCTATTTTATCCTTAAATAATCCTATTCAGGTAGCCAGATGGATATTTCATTTGCTAGGTGCATAAACATTCTTCTAAGTGATAGCATTGGTTTGTGCATTGCTGGTACAAAGGTTAACTCCTAGTTGCTGTGATGCTAAACACTGCAACACTGATGTGCCAAATGCAATAATGGTTACCAATGTTTGGTGAAGTGTTTGGTGAAGCTCCTCAATTAAATCAAGCTTGGAAGCAGGAGTGGTATCCACTTCTGAAATGGCTTGTCTCCAGAAACTCTATTAACAGTGCTCAGATCTTTCATTCACAGGGTCGCTATGAGTCATCTACGACTCAACAGCACAACAACAAGGTGCTTGAACTAAGGTTTAAAGGGGCCCTCAAAGTACAATGGTTAAAACAGCTGGCTACTAACAGAAAGGTTGGCAGTTCCAAACTACCAGTGGCAGCAAGAAAGAAATATGTGCAAGTCTTCTTTCATAAAGATTTGTGGTACTGTAAACAGTCTGGGGCTACGGAGTGGCTCTGGTAATTCAAACCCACCAAAAGCTCCACAAAAGAAAAATTAAGATGTACAGTCTAAGAAACCCAATGTAGGGTCGGTAGGAGTCAAAATCAACTTGATGGCAGTAAGTGTTTGGGTTTTTATAGAATTATCGTGAGTCAGAATAGACACAAGAGTGGTGGCTTTAATTTGGACCAACCAAAAATTAAAAGAATGTAGGAAAGGGAGCTCTGGCGGCCTAGTGGCAAGAAGTTGCGCTGCAATCCCTAAGTCTCACTGTTTGAATCCAATCTCCTCCTATGCCAGTCAGATACAATTTGATGGCACGCAACAAGAGGGGTAAAAAAGGTAGGAAACATATTAAAGGTCACAAAATCACAGAGGTAAGTGGCAGGGCTAAATTCAGCATTCTCAGTCCTGATACTACACCACTATCACCATATATTTTATTATATAGAGAATGCTATATTCTCCTCCTTGCTCTTAAGTAATTTGCAGTATAAAAAAAAATTCACCTATTATACATAATTTTTAATACAATAGTTTGTGGATGTGGCATAATTTTCTTAATCACTCCTCAATCTATTAGAATCTTTCCATATAGCACTCAGGATAGGATGATTCATCCAATTTTTAAAAATTAAAAAAACTTTAAAACATAAGGCAGGATTTGCTCATTTCTGCATTTAAATGAAAACACATCATTTCACTTACTCTTTTACTGAGGCAAATAACTGGCCACATACTGCAACCTAATGTGCAGCAGCAACAGAGGCAACCACAAAGCAGCCAACGCACGTTAACAGGCAGGTTCTTCTTCAGACAGCTGTTAACTCTGTTGATACTGGCTTTAAATTCTTCAGGAGCTACCTGGGGGAAAAACAGTAATGAGAACATAGTAATACTAATGCCAGTTAATCCATTTCACAAACATAACTTTCTTCTCATTTGCTAGGGACAGACAAGTTTTAAAGTATATGAATACTATCTAAATAATTGACAAGACACTTACTTTTCCAGTTAACGAAGAAGGGAATTCAGATTCAAATTTGTTGCTTAGTCCAAATCTATTTAAAAACAAAACAAAAAAGTTATTACATGATATGCTGGGATTATGTTTTAAACAAATAATTCTTTTATTAACTTAATCAAAGATTAATAATATTAAAATATAGCTTCATATGCATTCTGTAACAACGGAGATTAATGACAAGAGCATTTTAGTCAATAACTTATGAAACAGAACAAATACTAATTTTGACAGGTGAATTATATCTCTTCTATAATGGGAAGCTGGATGTTAATTAACCAGGAGTGGATGAAAAGAATGGCGCCCTGGTCGTGCAGAGGTTAAAGCACTCAGCTGCCAAGTAAAAGGTCAGCAGTTAAAAAACTATCAGAAGTTCCACAAGAGAGAGATGCATACACACCCATGTTCATCATGGCTTTGTTCACAACAGCAAGGAGTTGGAAACAACCTAAGTGCCCATCAACAAACAAATGGATAGAGAAGCTGTGGTATATTCACACAATGGAATACTACACTGCATTGAAAAACAAGGAACTCATGCAATATTATTCAAAATGGGTGACCCTGGAGGACATTATGCTGAGTGAAGTATCTCAGTCACAAAAAGGACAAATACTGCATGGTGCCACTGTTGTAAATAGGACTGATCTCGAAGTTTGGGGGGACAATGAGAAAGATGGGTTCAATAATGTATACCGCAGTGAGCTCTGGTGGCCTAGTGGCAAGAAGCTGCACTGCAATCTCAGAGGTGAGTGGTTCGAATCCACCAGATGCTCTGCTGGAGAAGAAGGAACAATCTCCTCCTGTACCAGTCAGATCTGATTTGACGGTACACACAAAAAAATAATGAAATTTTTAAAAAAATTAATAAATAAAAAAATAATGTATACTGCACTGAAACAGATGAGGGAGAAAACTGTTTAAAAGGGATATGTGATTAGGTATTTTTGTCATGACAGGAGTCCAGAGCGAAGGCTGCATAGTGGAGTGGACCTGGGGGAGGGTTTGTAAAACAATGAAAGAATTTTTCTTTTACTTTTCCAAGAGGGTGGTGTATTAGGGGGGGAAGGCTGGGAGGGAAGAAAAGTGCAACAATGAATGAATGGAAATCCAAAGTCTCTGTAAATTTTCATTGAAATTCATAATTTTTTTTTAATTATAAAAAAAATGGGGAGGGGAAAAAAAGAGAGAGATGCAACAGTTTGCCTCCATGGAGTTTTACTGCCTTGGAAACTAATCCTAAGGAGCAAGTCTATTGTCGGGTTTTGTTTGATTGTTTTGGGTTGTGATATTTGTTTATTTATTTATAAACAAGAGACTAGGCAGCTCATTTGCATGTTCTATTTTATTTAAGCTACCCTGTAAACCTTAAAATCGGCCTTCAAAGCACATTCTTTTTAATACATGGGATACCAATATTTTCTAGATGTCAATGAAGATAGGCAGCAGCTGTGATTTCTACCAACCTTCCTTTGAATCATGAGTACTGAATATCATCCCATGGCGTGCCAAAAGAACATGTATGTCTTGGGGAAGTGCAGCCAGGATGTTTCCTGGAGTCAAAGATAATAAAGCTTTGCCTCACTTACTTTGGACATGTTGCTAAGCAGAGCTAATCCTTGGAGAAGGACATGATGCTTGGAAAGGCAGAGAGGGTCGGCAAAGGAGAGGAAGATCTTCAACCAGGTAGACTGCCACAATGGGCTCTAGTTTATCAGGAAGTGTGGGGATGGCACAGGATAGGACAGCATTCAGATCTGTTGTTCACAGGGTTACTATGGGTCATATCTGACTCGATGGCATCTAACAACAAAACATCTTCACAGTCGAATATAACTCACAGTGACCCTATCACCAACAGACAGGAACTTCAACCTGCCCTGGCCCATCTTCATGATCTCTGACCTGGGGTCATCCTCTCCCTTTGCTGATCCACTACTTTTCCCAGTATAATGTCTTTTTCCAAGGAATGGTCCCTCCTAAAAACATGCCCAAAGTATGTGTGGTAAAGCTTCATCATCCTTGCTTCTAAGATTGCTCTCCCATCAAGAAGAATATAGCTTTCTTTTGGAAGTCCATGGGATATTCAATACTCTTCACCAACACAACCTAAAGGCATTGATTTTTTCCCTCTGGTCTTCTTTATTCCTTGTCCACCTTCCAGAGATACACAGGAAGTAAATGAACACAACACAGCTTGGATCAGGCACACATTAATCTTTAAGCTGACATCCTTGCTCTTTAAACTTTAGAAAGGTCTCTGACATCATATTTTCCCAGTGTAACTTGTCTTTGATACCTTACAGCTGCTACAATGAGTGCTGATTGTGGCCTATAAAATAAAATTCTTGACAATTTCAATCTTTACTCTATGTATCACAATACTGCCTATTGATTGGCCCAGTGGCGAGAAAGTTTTGTTATCCATATTGAAAGTTTGATCTCCTCCAGTGTTTCACTTACTACAAGCAAGGCTGTGTCATCTGCATAATGCAGGTTGTTGATGAGTATTCCTCCAACCCTAATACCACATTCTTTTCCATAAAATCCAGTTTCTCAAAGATGTGCTTCAATAGGTATGAAAAAAGGGTACAACCCTGATACACATCATTTCTGATTTTAAATCATGCAGTGTTCCCTTGTTCTGTTCGAACAAATGTTTGCTGGGTCTTTGCAGAGGTTTTGCAAGAGCACAATGAAGTGTGCTGGGATTCCTATTCTTCTCAATGTTAGCCACAATTTGTTAAATGACACAGTCAAATGACTCACCATAGTCAACAACATCAAGTAAACCCCTTTTTAATATTCTTTGCTTTTAATCAAGACACATCTGACATCAGCATTGACATCCCTCATTCTACAGCCTCTTCTGAATCCAGTTTGAATTTCTGACAGTTCCTTATTGTGGTAATGTTCCAACTGTTTTCTAAAAATCTTCAGTAAGATTTTATTTGCATGTGGATTATAAAGGCAAAATCTTGAATGAAGCAGAAAGCATCAGAAAAAGAAGTAGCAAAGGAAGTACGATTTACAGCAACCCTATGAACAAAAGATCTGAAACCAGCCCTGTCTTGTGCCATCCTCACACTTCTTGACACACAAGAGCCCATTGCAGCAGTCACCCTGTCAATCCACCTGGGTGAGGGTCTTTCTCTCCTTCACCGACTCTTCACCCTTCCCACTGTCATGTCCTCCTTCAAGGAACAGCACCTCCTAGCAACATGTCCAAAGTGTCTGAGGCAAGCCACATCATTCTTCCCTCCAAAGAGCACTTCAGCTGCACCCTTTCCAAGACATATCTATTCATTTTCTTGGCCGTCCATGGAATGTTCACTGTTCTCCTCCAATACCACAGCTCAAAGGCATCAATTCATTTCTTGCATCCTTACTCATTATCCAGTTCTCGGACGCATAGCTAGTAATCAAGAATACCATGGCCTGAAACAGATGCACTTTAATCCTCAAACTGACATCACTACTCCTCAATAATTTGGGAAGGTCCTTAAGTGCAGATTTTCCCATTGCAATGTGTCTCCTTATTTCCTGAGTACTGGCACAAAGGGTATTAACTGTGGATCCAAGCATGATGAAGATTCTTCTAAGAAGAAGAAGTCTTGAAGTACTTGTTGTAGAATATCAAGGAATGCAGCCTTTGGTATAGATTGTATCTTCATGTCAAGAAAAGAAAGATTCATACCACTGGATCAATAGGCAACATCATGATGGATGGAGAAGAGAACAAAAGAAAGAACTGACAATATGCTGCCAACAACTATCTTAGGGTATCATTCAATCCTTCAGCTCATTGTTGTTGCTGTGTAGCAATGACTTGGAACCAACTCACTGCTGATCCTCCAGAAGGCTTTTATAGTCAATACATCACATAGAAGGAGACTATCGATCTTTCTCCCATGAAGCAGTCTGTGGATTTGAACTGCATGCCTTGATGCTGACAGCACAACTCTTTAACACTAAGCTACCAGAGCTCTCCCCTACCTCGTTGTTGTTATGTGCCGTTCAGTAACCTGAGACACATAGTGACCCTATGTACAGCAGCTCTGAACCCTGCCTTGTCCTGAGCCAATCTCACTAATTCCCACACACCAACCCCTATTGATACAGTTCCAGTGTTCTCCTCTCCTGCACTGTCCCTCTACCCTTCCAATCATGACGTCCTTCTCTTCTGGCCATAGTGCCCAAAGCATGTGAAACAGAGCTTTAAAATCCAAGCCTCCAAGGAGAAACTTGGTTTCACCCTCTCAAAGACAGATCAATTTGTTTTCTTGGCAGTCCACAGTATGTTTAAGACTCTCTAGTACCACATTTGAAGGCCTTGATTCTTCTTTGGTCATCCTTAGTCAATGCCCAGCTCTTTGACACACAGAAAGTAACTACAAAGACCATGGCCTCAATTACACACACCTTAGCCTCCAGACTGACACCATTGCTTTTCAGTACTCTGGAGAGGTCCTGGGCAGCAGATATTCCCAATGCAATTCATCTTTTAATTTCCTGGTTGCTGGTGCTAAGAGTGTTAATTGCATAGCCAAGTAAGCTGTCACTGTTAACAATTGCAATCTCTTCTCCATTTAGCATTACCAGTTGGCCCAATGGTAAGAATCTTTGTCTTCTTGATGTTGAGCTTCAATCCATGTTGAAAACTACAGTCCTTGACCTTCTGCAGAAAGCGCTTCAGGTCCTCTTCCATTTTGGCAAGCAATGTTGTGTCAACTGCATAAAGTGGTTGGTGATGAGTCTTGCTCGAATCCGGATGCACATTCCTCCTCATAAAGCCCTGCTTCCCAAATGACCTGCATATAGATTGAAAGGGTATGGAGATAGGCTGCATCCCTGACATACTCCTTTCCTGATTTTGAACCGTATAGTGTTTTCCTGCTCTGTTCTGAGGACTGCTTCCTGGTTCAAGTATAGGTTTCACATAAGCACAATCAAGTTTTCTAGGATTCCCCTTTTACTCAAGGTTAGCCACAATTTGTTGTGATCCACACAGTCAAATGCCTTTGCATAGTCAACGAA